CCCCAAAACCCCAAAACCCCAAAACCCCAAAACCCCAAAACCCCTTTTTTATTAAGAAAATTGAGAATCCAATAATTTTTATTAGCAATAGAGTCCATGATGGGCATTAGTGACTGTACTGTAGGTGTGATTCTTGATGTATTTATATGATCCAATAGCTGAAATACCCTCAATTGGTCCCCAGTTAGTCAAGGATGGTTCAGCATCATAGAACCATTCATAGCAAAGATTTTTCATATGATAAGCATCAATATAAGCAATTCTCTTAGCAATTTCACTTCTTGGGACTCTTCTTCCAAGATAGAAAATTTGTGGTGCAATATCGTGAAGAGATCCGATGACTCCTTCGTTACTTAATAATTCATTGTAGTATTTATTTCTAGCCCTGAACACTTCAACATCGTTCATATAGTGTCCATAAGTGGTATTGAGGACCATTCCACAATAATTCATCTGACGAGTGAAGACTTCATTTCCGAAGAAGTAGTTTCCGAAAATACCACAGTCAGAATAAGCAAAATAGTGAGAATTGTGAATAGTGACGTCGGGCAAGTCTCCAATCATACCATGAAGGGCATTATATTGCTTGGCAACATCATTCAAATGCTCAGCATTCTTGTCTAGTCTATAAGTTCCGAAAATCCTCTTTAGCAATTCAAAAGCATAATAGTCTGGATGAGTTCTGCTTGGAGCATCATAGAAAACTCCAACGTTTGAGTTGTACATTTCATCATCTCTCATCATTTGCAAGGCTGGAATGTAGATTGGCCTTTCAGTGTTGTTCTTAGTAGCGGAGGTTGTCTTTGGCAATGAAGCAAAGTGGGTCTCAACCAAGTCGACAAGGTCTTGATGACTTACATTTCCACTTCCAACAACGACAATGTTGTCTCCATAATAATTGTCAGCATGGAACTGTCTTACTTGGTCAATTGTGAGGTTTGGCAAGTTGTCTCTGTCTCCTCTTGTTGGCTGCCCAATCATGTGCTCTCTGAAAGCGTTATTATGAGAAGCTTGTAAAGTGGTTCTTTCGTACTCATTGATATTGTTTTCATGAATTTGAGACACTACTTCACGCTCAGCTTCAAAAGCATTTTCATTCAAGAGTGGATTAGTAACTAAATCTCCCAAAATTTCAACTGCCTTGCTTACATCTCCCTTCAATACTTTCAAAGTATGAGAGCTGATTTCTCTATGAGTTTGTCCTTCGTAAGTAGCTCCTAAGTTTTCAATTTCAGAGACAAGTTCGCTTCCAGTTCTGTTCTCAGTACCCTTTAGGAGGAGTCTCTCAAGGAGGAAAGCGGTTCCGTTGGTATCTAAGGTCTCATCTCTTGATCCTGCATTGATAAATATACCAACTCCGGCTAATTCAGAGCTGAATGCTTCAGTGCAGACTCTAATTCCGTTGCTGAGAGTAGTTTGCTCAAATGGTCTTACATATTTCAATGGCTCTGGGATTTCTCCATACTGCAACTCTCCGAAATTTTCCAAAATAGGAGCCTTAGAGAACTGCTTTAAATCACCAGTGGGCTTGATAGAGTAATCATGGCCTGTCTTAGTGATCTGAGTTGACATGGATCTCATGGCAAATCTCTTCATATTGTTCTTTAGAGACTTGGAGGCAGTAGTATAGAATCTTTTACTGAGATGATTGAACATATTTATAACAATTATAAATTAATTATTATATTTCAAGATTTTATTATATGAATGGGGTTTTGGGGTTTTGGGGTTTTGGGGTTTTGGGG